TTAATATAAAATGGAAATACAGAGTCTTACGGTATTTTTGTTTCTTCCAGGACTAAATTACTCCGTAGAGTATCCAGTACAATAGCTAGTAAGTGACACTAAGTCCAGCAGCCACCGCGTCTATCCAAAAATGTGGCGGTAGCCATATTATATCAAATTTAAACAATATATGTACAGTTCAAAAGCAAACACAAAAACTTCAATATAAGTACAAAATATAGAAAGAATAACAACATACAATGGTAAAATCTCAAATTGGAATCAAATAAAATACCAAAAATGTCAAGAGAAAAAGTCCATCATGTCATAGCAAAAATATGTAAACATGGAGGGATTTTCCAAAACACAAAACATTCAAAAAGAATTCTACATATTTCATTTGCACGATAATGTATTTCATGTTTTATTTGATGAATTCCCCCAACTAACCGGCTCTCCAGCACGTTCATTCGGTGATTAGTCATGTGGTACACCACATCGTCAACCACGGACCACAAATCATGGCAAAACCTCACTGAGTAGCACCAGACGAATTCGCTTTCGCTAAGCGTGAGTTAGACAATTTAACTTCTGTATGTATTATTCATCTTTCTCACAGTCCTTGTACTTTTCCTCTTCACATACTTCTCAAAAAGATGGTCTTATTTAGAGACCATGCGGCTATGACACAACATCAAGGCAGATATCGATCAATCTGCCGCTGAACTTATGTAGGACACGATTTTACGTCTGCGGAGAGAATTTTCTACAACACGAAGTAGTAATTCTTCTGGTGTATCAGATTACGTCCGACAACTATCCGCGTGCATGCTTACACTACCTCCGTTGTCAACTGGCGTACAGCATTGACAGTTCGCTCTCTATCGAGAGTTATTTACCTGTCCACATGTTTTTATACCAGCAGATTCGGTAAGTATGTTACGGGAGAAATGAAGACATTTGGCTGATTAAAACCTTTATGTAAATATCTTTAATTTCACTGTGTTTTTGGAGTATATTTGTTTTACTTAACTTATGAACTTGTTAAAATTATTATTTTCGGCCATTTTGGACTCATGTTTGTCTTGGTTTGTTCGTTTGCAGTTTTTTGCTCCAGGAACCTATAAAACTGAAGGTAATTGTAATTATTATAATTATTGTTGTTAGAACGACATTGTTCGTCTATTTGTAATTGACGAACGACATTTTGGTCGATTATTTGTGAATTAAGAATACACTTTGTTACCTACTTTGGAGTTTCGTTTTGTTATCAATTTCGGTTCGTGAATCGCAAATAGATCGACATACCGTACTTCACAAAAGGAAGGAGCAAAACATGTACGTAACAAAGTAAACCTCTGTGATACCCTTACGAAGAACCTTTTTACATGATTCCTGTCGCGAAAAGACCTTCACTGTCGATCAATATCATCAGCATTGATCGTCTCAAACCAGCACACTTTGACGACAGTGCCCTATCCGACAAGTCGAGTCCATAAACTAAACCCATGTCACCTACTATTATGTTTCATAGAGTTAAAAAAGAGCGAAAGTTCCGAGCCCAGAACACGCGTTATGCTCGTCATGGGGTGGCCAAAATATCTATTCTTAGGCCACATTGCTGAAATTTTATTGATTGTTTAGATCGACTTTAAAAGAAATCAAACCAAGCTGTTGAAAAAGTCTCAGTTCTATATTATGAATGAACATTAGCTGGAGAAATCACAAGTCTTTGTCCCTAAAGTCTCTTCACCAGTGATCTGTATAAAATAATGGGAAGCCGAAAAGAACGTAAGCCAAAATAGATTTAAGAGAAAGAATCCCTTGAATTGCAAAATGTGGGGTGGTGCGATTCTGGAAGAGAATTTTTCCGAATCCGCTTTTTGGAATACGAAACATTTTGAATGGTCTTTCGATTTGCTTGACAAATGCCTAAGGCTCACTCAATGAATGATCAGATGTATGCGTGCAGATATACCCGAACCTGGCATAATCCCGTCACACGAACCTTGCAAACATGGCCTACAGACAGTAGGTAACATGATCTTTAAAATTTCGAATCTGTAACAGCCAAAGTAATGTAGAAGTAAAGATAGGAAACGGCTTATTAATTGGAAATATCATTCCTTTGATCGCCATCATTAACATATATGTCAAAGGAATGGAGCATGCGCATTAGTTTACGCATCACACTAGCTTACTAGGGGAACTAGCAGGTTATATCTCAAATCCATTCAGCATATGTGTCAGTCTATCTATAGTTCAAGGTACATCACTAAAAGATTTTATAAGCGCTACTGCAAGTTCTGTCCTCAAAAAGAGTAGGTGATACAAGCCTGAGAACCATCGATACGTATCCCTGACTAAAATTTTAGTGGTTATTCGCAAAGAATTGTTTGAATAATTAGACAAGATCGGATTCATTCTGAGTAGTACCATGTCTTTAGAACAAGTTATTCATGTAACACAGACTTATTAGTCGTAAGTAAAACTTGGTAAACTCTAAAGGACCTTAAGCTAATTATAGATGAAGAATTCAATGAATTCATCAAAACTTTCAAAAACTCTCTTACAGCCGACTGTTACCAAGATTAAGTTGAATGTGGATTAAGGGCAATCTATTTGTGCAGATAAATGATTTCCTAGTTAAGCGTAAACACGGAATATCGGTTTACTCCAAGTTATCTAGCTGTTAAACTGTTTTGGAGTGCACTCTTGTGCCTGATGTTATTCTTCATGTAATGACCTTCACTAGTCTTCCATCATTATCAGTTTTGTTATATACAAACAATACCAATATAGAAGAGTGATATAAGCAAAGGAGATATTTGAAAGCCTCGAAATGACCGGCAGAAAGTATCTGAATGATTGGGAATTTGGAAGTTGCCGATTAACTTGACAACGCATTTTCTGTAGCACCCGCGAAACCAGAATTCAGGGATGATTTCAGTTTTAATGCGTCTTGATCACCATGGTACAGATACATAACATTCAGCTGCTTGTTATCCGATCACACAAGTATTTGGGATCTGTTACTATCTAAGATGTGTAAACTTATTTACACTGTCGTGTGGTGGCATTAAAAATTTTACAACCCTACGGCCAGTGTGGTGACTTTGCACTTTCAGTGCGAAAAGACAGTTCAGTCATATAGACAGTGTTCGTTCGTGCTGAACACTTATATTACATAAAAGCACTTAGTTTTTGCACAGAAACTGAGAGTGCGAATCCGGAAAAGATTCAAAAAGACTCAACGAAGCTGAGAATGTCCTAGCAGCTGTCTATTTTTAGATTAGATAGACTAAACCTAACTGTCTTATCATACAAAAGACCATCCAATCTTATGATAGCATGGGACAGCTGGAAAACCTGTATGGATCCAGAAATACCCGGTCCACATGATTTTCCTTGAACTCGCAAATCTTTCGATCCAGTACCTCTTATAATCCTGATTGCAAAGGTAGAGAAGATAAGCTTCACTGACCCACTTCTATCTTAGCTGAGAAACTACTTTGAGGGCAGGAAGTTTCTCACCAAGCTCAATAGCGTGCTTACGATTTTGTGAGTCTCAACATCAGGCGTTTTAAAAGGAACATCTTATGTCTACTTCACCTCCTGATATTAATTAATGACCTGTTACATAAATTTAGCTTGCCGGCATTAGTTGATGCAGACGATGCAAAGATCTGAAGGTCAATAAGATTGAAGTTGGGTTCAGCTGAGCTTCAAAAGGAACCTCCGGAAAATGAGAAATTGGCAGTAGACAATGGGTAAAAACTCAGCTAGCCAAAATAGCGCATCATGAACATTTCGCTCTACGTGACGCAAATAACTTGCATCTTCAAAGAATATTCTATTCCTAAAGTTTCTTCATAGCTCGATCTTCGTCTAGTAACAGCAGAAAGCTTGAACTCCACTTCAAACAACATAGAAGATGCCGACAAATCGAACTCAATCTTTCACTTCACACAGTTGTTCCTAACTCCATTCAACACATACTCACAGCCAAATCTGGAAGTTCATAACGTCTTGGCAACCCATCTCCCTAAAAGATACATAAAGTTCCTTGATCGAGTGCAGTCAGTCAGTTAGTTAAATCGTAGAACTTCGTACATACATACAGAAATTCAGGTTGCCATATCGCATTATAACAGAGACGCAACTATCAGTATCAAAACCCATAATAGATAGTAGAAGTGTTAGCGATAATGGGGAAGATTAGGCTTAGAACGTCTTATTTATGAAGTTTAATTCGGTGGGATAAATCTAGAAAAAGAAAGAGTTCATAAGGCATTCAGAAGATTAGAATTCCAGAGATCACAAAGAGTGGATGCACCTGCGCCCTGTGCTGAGACGAGAAACTAAATAGCTGCTAGAGCTGAAGTGCAAACTTTATAAAAACAGAATCCAAAATTCTGGATCATTCTCTAATATTTACTGGCGAACCAGTGTTTACCACTACAAACCTCTACAAACTACCACGAATAACACAATCACGGGAATCACAGGACATACAAATTTGCTAACTGACTGGAATTAGTGCAGTCAAGTGGCCAAATTTATATCCCATGGACATTACTTAATCCCTGCGACCGTACTGGAAGAACAAGAATAGAGAACAAATAATCCAAGTGGTTCATACTAGCTCGTGATAAAGATAATGGATATTAGAATGCTGAACACTGATTTCGCTTTACTGAATTGGACTCCAATATGGTTGTTTTCACATTATAAAAGGTAAGTGTCTTGTTCGACAATATATCGGCTGACAGTTACAGAAACCCTAATACCTTATGACAAACTCACTTACAATAATTCGAAATGTAGAAATTCACACAACTGTCACTGTCAATGAGACTAATGCACTTAAGTCCCTGCAATAACCTTATAGAAAGCAACGTGAATTTGTGAGGTAAGATCAGTAAATGCGTATAAATAAACCAATTGGTTTGCACTGGCCTGTTACCAGGATATCGGATACTGATTTGTTTATATACTTCGATTATACTTATGCATTCTTGTTCGCAGACTTGAATGTAGAACTATTGGCGCGGAGTAACCAATATCAATTAGGTGTATATGTAGGTAACTGTAGCAAGACGATTAGTCATATCAATCTTCTCGAATAATAAGGTATGGAATAAAGTCTCTTGTGAGAATAATTTTATGCACTTAATTTCTACAGTTATTCTTGTTAATTTATCTAACATCAACTTCTGCTTACCCATTAGATTATACGAACTTGTAAGCTCATGGATTTTCTTTCTTGATGTTTCATGTTTATATTTTACTCGTTTTGCTCACTACTCGCCCTAGGTTTCGCTGTACGTTTTATGTCCATAATCTTTTTGGTTCGCGGTGACTATCCAGCTGCTTACTCTTGTTATTCGACCAGTTTCCTCATAATGTGACGAAATTGCCGTTGATATGGTCAAAGGAAAGTTTCAGGCGTATTTTCCATTTGAGAAAAATTCTCTGACATACAGTTGTCTTCATTGTCGTGCACATTTGGCTCGTCATGATGACCTCATAAGTAAATCTTTCCAGGGAAGTCAAGGTCGAGCGTATTTATTTAATCAGGTAAGCATCCGTCATCTTACTTGAAACTCTTTTTGGGTTCCCATTTTTATTATATGGTAATTTTGTATATTGGTGGAAGCGGGAATGATTCGAAATTCGAATACAGAACCCAATTTACTCCTTTATGGGTTATGGCTTCATTCTCTAAATCTCTGTTAAATACCGATCCTTTGTGCTTCGACCAGCTTCAATCATCACTTAAGTGCAATATCAATTTGAAACTGACAGTCTGGACATCAGATCTGTTGACCAACACATTTCCTTAGAACTGAAGATTAGTTTTGAAAGCTATTTTGTAATATGGTGAACGTTTAGGATTTTTCACCATGATTTTATGAGCTCGGTAATTTCTTAGCTTTGCTGTCTTTTTCTCGCTAATGCAAGCTGATTGATTGTCAAATTACAGGTTCATCTACTAAGCTTTTAGTCATATCATTTCTTTTGTGAGTGTTAGTGACAGTACCCAGCTGCGAGGACCCAGTCTGGGAAAGCGAGCTAAATATTTATGGCTTGATGAAGTTAAGCCGAGAAGTCCAATCACTAAGATACCGCTCCATGGATTAATTTAATTTGCAGGCAATAATTTAAACCTCAAATCAACGTATGATACGCATATCTATAAGCTTATCGACCGTTGAGGTTTCGGTTATCTGGATTTTATCTGCTACCAGGATTCGAAATTTTTAGATGTTTCCTTTCTAGACTTACATAGAATGCTCACCCTTTTTTACTTAAAATGCACATTTTGGGATAAGATAAAGTAATGAAGACCTAGTCTTGTTGTTAATCATAGTTACGCCAAGGCTCTGATTTGATACTTGCGAAACTTGCAGTTAATAGATAACTTTATATAAAATAAACCTTAAATATGCGTGACTGTTTTCGTTTTTTTCACATTTGCCGCGTTATACTAAGCATGGTTACAACTTATGCATTCTTAATAGTGTTGTACCTTCTCAAATCCTCTTTGTTTCTATCTGTTTTCATGGCCATATTAATTACTTCATACGGCAGTTATAATTCGGAAAATGCGGAAATCAAATTCTTGTGAAGGTGAATCAACAGTGGATTAATTTATTTACCGTGTATAAATTTGTACACCTGGTTTCAAGTCACACTAAATGCAAGGGTTAGCGTTACTACCCAGTTGCTCATGACCAGAGTAATTGTATGTATCAATCTCAGTAAATCGTGGCCATTATTACAACACAAAAATGGGAAAAATTTCAGTACTGTTAATTAATAGTGAGTGTAACTACTGTTTTTCTAAGTAAGCAGTCAAGGTCGTAACTTTTACATCTGAAACGTCTAAGATACACTAGAGATGTTTGGATTTGCGGTTTAAATAACAATAGCCTTTTGTGTTAAACCGTCACGGTCTTACTCCTGTGATTTTTTGCATGATTGACTTGTAATGTTTGCTACAGAGTCAGTAAATCCGTAGATTATTGAACTGTTGCTGTTGCTTAGTTTTTGCATACGGGATTCCGTGGGAAATGTTCAGGATATAATGTTTCAACAAAATTTGTGTGAGGAAATGTAATTCAGTCGAAATCACAAATTATGTTTTTCTCTCTCGTATTTTTTATTATGAAAATTGGCGAACCTCATTAATTGCGAGAGGCGAATTGCGAAATTTTATTACATACACTTTACTTTTTGGTCGTATATCTTCCAGGCTGTAAATGTTCGTTGCGCTGAAGCTAAACAACGTGTTCTTCTAACCGGGTTGCATTTTGTAGCTGATATATTTTGTGCATGCTGTGATACAGCACTTGGTTGGAAGTATGAACGTGCTTTCGAACCTAGTCAACGATATAAAGAAGGAAAGGTGATAATTGAACTGGTGCATTTATATAAAGATAACAGTTGGGATGCTGAATGGTTATATCCCTTGTATCGAACTAGCTCTACTGCTAATGGTTATACTCCAGACAGAACTTTAAACCAAACAAAGTCGCATTCAGTTAGTGTAAATGATCATCGTCATAGTGAAACTAGTAAATCAAAATTATCACTAAACTTTCCACCGATTGATGCAACGGACTCTTTATCTTCAGCTGATGGAGGTGTTTTCGAATCTTCGACAACTGATTTAATTAATCCTAATGAAGAATCATGTACAGATTTTGTGCATCATCATGACAATTTACATCATCCTCCTCCTCCTCCGCCTCCTCCTTCCCAGCATCATCATCACCATCATCATCATCAGTTTCATTATCATTTGAATATATCTCCTTCATCTTCAACTCAGGTTCATCAATCATCATTCTCTCTTATGTCAAATGATTCAACATCTTTATCATATCGTTTAAGTTCATCATTAAATGCAACTGGTTGGGCGTTTCGTATTCCACCTTCATTATTGACATCTAAAAACAATGGACTTAGTAGTAACAGAGATAAATATTCATTAGACTTATCAGATTCTGGACGTGTCAGTGATTATTGTCATAATTCCACATCAACATCAGCAACAGAGAATGTAGGACATTTAAATCTTGTTTGTTCTACAAATAACAACAATAATGATAGTGATGTTGAAAATGTTGATAATATAATACCAAATAGTATGATTGTTACAAATATGAATCAATGTAATACGCGTACTTATAACAATAAACATAATAAAACTAGAATAATCGACTGTCAAACAAGCACTAATGTTACTACTACTAGTACTAGTACTACTACTACTACTAATAATAATAATAATAATAATACTCATAAAGATCATCAAAATTTAATTGAAAATTTTACTAAATCAAAATCTTTAAATCCTGTTATTAGTAAATTATCTTCGGAAGATTCAAATAATATTATTATGGATAATGATAGTAATAATGATAATAATCATAATTCTGAATATGATTGTTTAGAAACAGATGCACATGATATTTTTGAAGATATTAACATAAACATTAAGAATAATCATAGACCAATGGATGATTTGTGCTTAAAAAATTTATCACAAGTAAGTTTACATTTATTTGACTTCAATTATTTCAATATAATTTAATATATTTTACTATATTAGTTTGGAGATGTTTATTTGATTGATACTGTTTCTTCAGAAATATACAATGTTTCATATATTGACATTTGCAGTTCCCATTGATTAATAATAGTGGCAAAGATAAAACTTGGGAAATTAAAACTTTAAGTTACATTTTTTCTTTATGTTCATAGAAAGCCTAATCTTATGAATATATTGCTTCTCGCCGAGTTTGTCATTTTTGTCTACTTATGAGAATGCAATTTTTTCCAAGTTCAATTTTCAAAGTTGACAGAAAATGTTTCGTCGAAAAATACACGCTTGAATGATCATCAATGTATGAGAAAAACGTAGTTAAGTACATTCCACTTACGTATTTAGAGTTTATATTTTATTATGTCATTGAGATTACGAACCAACTTAAGTTATAGGGCTCAATGGTTTAAAAGCTAAACTCACTCTGAGAAACATCACGTTTCTGTTTTTGACCCTTCGTAACATCGTGGCTACGTACTACTGAGGAAACCCATGCTAGTATGAGACAACTGTTCATTCCATTCCTATTGTTTAACTGAGGTTGGTTTGTAATACCAGAAATATTTAACATTCTTCCCTAATCTCCTATACTGGTGATAATTTATTGTGTCATTCAACCTTTGGTGTTTAGTAGATTAAAAACAGTTAGGGTAAAGTATTTGATTTAACTTTACTTGTAAAATTGAGACAATAAGCATTTCTTTGAGATTCAGTGATGAAACGTCACTGAATAGATAATTTACATTGTGTTAAAAAAATATTATACGAGGTTTTTGTTTAATTTTCAAGATGATCAACATACTAACACCAATGTGTGAAGTCTATTTCTTCATATTGAATAATTCATGTTAATTTTTGTCACGCGTTTCTACCAGGTACATACATTGGAATGTATTGGAAATGTATTTGTTAAAATGATAATTTTTAAAAGTACTAATACGTAGTTAGTACTTCTCAGTACATCATCTGTACTAATAAACAAATAAATAAAATGTGCTTTTAGCGGCCTATACAGCTTGACTTAATAGCAAATACATAATATACCTACTGTTTATTGCTCTTACCAATACCTAATATAATGAGAGACAATTCAGTGGAATTACCTTGGGATCAATTATTGTGAAATTAGCCGTAAAAAACAATTCGATTGCTTTAAAATTCGGTATCATCTGTATATTTGGAAGTAAACCATTTATACTTCTAATACCTTTTTTCTACTTGTCAGTTTGTTTCTGTTTGGTTTTACAATCTTATATTTCAAGTTTCATTGACTGTGCGGATTTGTCATGTTATCATCAATACTAACAATGCTATATCCAGATAAGATCTTCGTCTGACTTCTCAGGGTTTAATTCCCGACCCAGAAATTCGCTCATCAACTTGGTGTACGTGTGTAATATACTTCTGTTTGGTGAAGAGGCTGACAACAGACAGTCTCCTGAATGCCCTGACTAACACTGGAAAAATGTTTAAGACAAATTTCACTCCTTGTAAATGTGGATGTTTCTTCAAAACTCATCCTTGTCAACGTTTATTCTTGTCATAGAAAATGAGTTAGCTGAGCACGCTGATCACTTCACATATCTTGGAAGTTTCATCAGCTTGTATGAATTAGTGGCTATAGAAGTGTAGGTACGGATGCGTCCAACTTTCTGGACTATAGATCTTGTTCGTTTTTTGAAAAGCGAACTAAATGTGCTCTGGTTCTCTTTTTCATTATTTTATGTCTATGAAACAGTTTTCGAACTTCAAGGCCATTTATGGATTACAAGCATATGATCTTAGATGTCGTCAAAACATTGGCCATATTTGATGGGACAACAGAATGATCTTGGTCTTATACGTCAGGTAGTAGGTAAGATAGTATGTCGTTTATGAAGCTTTAAATCTTCATCTCATGGTATCTCTTACCTCAACAGCAAACGCTTGGTGTTGTAGAAATGTTGCTGAAAGAAAGATAGTGTGACTGACTTGAAGCATGATATTAGCCCAGTCAGTCGGTTATGTGTGACATCGAACCTGGTACATATATGCTTCAGTTGAAGTCATACCATATTAGCACAGTGAGATAAAATTATCGAGAAAAATCCCGGCGTCGTTGGAATGGTGATATTATCAAGTGGTAGTGGGAAATTTTAAGCATAAAAGGTATAATTCGAGGTGAAAATATGGGTCTGTGGAATAAAAGGACCATGAGATAACTTGAAATCTTATGATCTAAGCGATGGCAAAGACTGAATGTACCTGCGCCATTGTAAATGATTCTGAGCCATATCAGCCAAAATCTCTGACCGTTAGTTGTGATAATCTCACGGACCCCAACCAGCTGGTGTACATATGTCAGCACAATTCAGTCTAACAGTCAGTGACGGCATAAAGTAATGCCTACATCTTGGTATGTCCGTTCCAGCCTTCTTCCGACCTACTCCTACTGCAGACATCACCCGTCAGAGTGAATAGTGTTTGAGTATTTGTATTACGCGCCCCAATCACATCATTTGCCGAAGATTCACTACCTCATCAACCGAATCACCATCTTTTCGTAGTAATAATCCGTGAAATTAATGACTGATGAATTTGGCTAACTGAGTTTTACTTGCATCCTTTATAAATGAAATTTAGCTCGTAGCCGTAAACATGATTCCTATACCTGGTAACGGAGTTATACCCGATTAAATAAATATGCGTATATAAATTGAATTCTTTATTTTAAATCAATTACATCTCTACAACACACATACATGTATACAATCAGTTTTTTTGTTTTTTACATTGTCAGTATGTGTCTCCATTAGTTGTTTTCCTTCCATTTGTACGTGATCGAAATAGTTATAAATTATGGTTACACGTGGTTCAATTCGAGATCGGAAATTTTACTTCATATTTAAAACTAGATCATGTGATACTTTTGTATTAAAAAAAATAAAGAATCGATTAGTTTTGTTCCTTTTGTCGGTTAATTACATATTATATACATATTTATAGAATCTCTTAAGTACATACACTATTTATTATTATTATTATTATTATTATTATTATTAAACCAAATAGAACATTTTTATCAGATTGTTTATCAAATCTTTGATATGCTATCGTCATATCATGAGGCACCTTAGATTTCAACATTTGTTTCGCTTCCTTTTCTTACCATACCTTAGTTGACTACTACTACTAATAGTGAATGACAACGTACTGTTACGGGTATGAGGGCGGGTGTCACTTCCCGGCTGCCCACACCGTGGAAGGGTGCTTCTTAAAGAACCTGAAAAGGAAGGTATATTAGTGTTGGTAGCAGCTACAGTTGGGGAGCCTCGACGAGCTATGTTTTGTGGTGTAGGAGTAGGTTGGAAAAAAGCTAGGGGTGGCCAGACCAAAACATGGCAGAAATCCATGAGGTCACTGACAAGTTGACTGAGTCATGTTGGTAGATGTAGGCTACGTGGTTGGGCTCCGCGAGATGATAATAATCGATGGTTAGAGACCTTGAACGACATGGCTCAGAATCGTTTGCAATGGTGCAAGTGCATCCATTCGTTGTGCTCTCTCAAATCCTAATCTTCTGGAATCGTCAGCACCTCTACCTTTGCCTTTCTAACCTTATCTCACTGAATTATACTTCTTGAATAATATCTTCAAACCCTAGTCTTCTTCATTACCATGAACACCTCTACTATCTCTATCACTATGGGAGTTGATTTGACATTTGCGTCTTTGTGCTAATGTGGTATGGCAACCTGAACTGATGTACATACGTACAAAGTTCTACGTTGCAACTGACTGACTGACTGACTGACAGTTGGGGTGAATGACAGTAATGTAAATAGTGATGAGACAGTTTTAAATATGTAACTTTTTCTATCTAGTTTTATCTGTTATTATACTTAATTTTTTTTTACCATAGCTAATGCTATTACTACTCTTGGATTTGTTTTCAAATAATTCTATCTTTCTATCTTAGTGTGATATAGCGAATTCAACCAGTGCACATATATGTCAAGTTCTGTGTTTCATATTGCTTATTGATAGTATGTCACAGTTATGTAGTGTTTCTCAAAAAGCTTTCATGATTGGTCCTGATTGTTTTTTATAATTCTTGCAGATAACTTGATCGGAATCTACTTCATATTCAAGTTTTTCTGATGAGATAATTACTAATGAGGTGGCTAATGTATTGATGAAACGTTTATTGTTGAATATGAAGGTCATTTGGTCAGTCATTTACAACGTAGGACATCATTTGTACGTATATCAGTTCAAGTTGCCGTACCACATTAGCACAGAGATCGAATTGTCAATTCAAATCCCATACTAGTAGAGATAGTAGAAGTATTGAGGTAATGAAGAAGATTAGGATTCGAAGATATTCAAAAAGTGTAATGCGATGAAATAAATTCAAAAACAGGAAGTAAAAGACTAGAGGAATTCAGAAGATTAGAATGGAATGTATCTGCTCCATTCCAAACGATTTTGAGCTATTTCATTCAGCGTCTGTAACCATCGGTCACTATTGCCTCGCGAACACCAACCAGGTAGTCTACACAGCATGTCAATGGCAAGGTTGAGTAGGAATGAAGAAAGTGGATAACCCTGTCGAACACCACTCGAGGTAATCGATTCCAATGATAGTTCGCCATAAGCTCTGACTCGACCAGTAGTGTTCGAATAAAAATCCTGTACAGTTAGGCCTTTTGTTTGGTACTTCTTTCAGTGTCAGACTGCCACAAAACGTCACGATTGACAGAGTCAAATGCCTCTTTAAGGTTAGGGAAAACAACTATTCTGGGACGTCGAAATATGCGTCAATGTTCCAGGACCTGACGAAGAGTGAATATTTAATCTATACATCCACGTCCAGGTCTGAAACCACCTTGGTTTTTTTGAGTCTGCTCTTCAGGAGCTCTAGTTACGTGTTGAAGTATCATTGAAGCCAGTGTCTTAGACACAATATTAGTTAAACTGATTCCTCTGTGATTGTCACAAAGGGACTTTTGTCTTTTCTTATAGACTGGGTCATTTAGTGACTGAGACCAGTCTGATAGGATTGCCTATGGTTTTACATCGATTCGCCATTCAGGATGACTGGAGATTGTTCGTAATAGGAATGTGGCTGAAGCCCAGTTGAACTGATGTCAATTGGTCCAATTTCCTGGATTGAGAATGAATAATATCCCTCTCTTTTTTCGGGATACTCTCACTAACAGTCGGATTTCTAATACAGGTTTCTTTGATAAGTCTTGATAGTTATCTACTGTTACCTATTACCACTGCCTTTCTTTCTCTTTCTTTCGCAAACCACCACTGTTCATTGCGTAGGCTTTTTATCTGCCTGTTTTTAAGATGAATCTCCTTATGTTCAACGCCAGATAGGATGAGTTTCTGGACGTCTATCGGTTCAGTAGATACCACTGAAGTTCACTGATTTTCCTAAGTCTATGGTTAATCTTATTGGTAGATATCACTGCTGTTTTCAAATCATTTTGGGTATCATCTCAAGCTGCTTCGGGCTGAACATCACTTATATGGCTGCCTAACTGTTTTTCTAGTTGCTGCTGAAATATATTCTTAGCTTTGTAACCATTAAGTAGAACCCTAAGAGGTTTCTTTGCGATGTCTTTCCTACATCCAGTAAGACGCAAACAAATACGCACTCGCACTGGAACATGATCTGAATTTAAACGTGCTCCAGAATGGGCAGGAATCTCCTATTGAACCTCTCCATCGGTGGCTGAAGCGATATGGTCTAGTTGGACCTGGCGTTGAGTCAGCCTTGGGGTTCATTATGTCGAAAGATGTTTTTCCTTATGTTTAAAGTCAATATTTGCCGGAAATAGCCAATCATCTGACCATGGTTGCAGCAGGCTGTCACCATTATCTGTTCTTTATGTTGTGATACCATAAGATCCACCTTGGTGTCCTTCCTTTTTCTTAGTCTATCTACTTGAGCATTGAAGTCACCAGCCTCTATGAATACCTCAGTGCCTAACTTTTTGGAGGAGGTTGGAAAGCTTTCGGTAAAACTCATCGAGCTGTAGTGAGTAGAAACGTAGACATAGACAATGAAGAGGCAACCACGATTGTCCCTATCTTTCCGAGACCTTACTATCCCGTTTAGTCAGATAGCGCATGAGCGACTATCTACTGGGATCCAGTCTAAGAGAGCTAGATATGCCCTAGGACTCAATGCTATACCTACACCAGCGAGACCACGGAAAGCAGCTGCTGGGCTACCAGATACACGGAACGTAAATCGAGACATTTCTTTATGTTAATAAGGTGAAGTTATATGAATGACTACTCGGATCCTGTATACGCGTTTCGAAGACGCAGCATACGTCGAATACACTGGATTCTAGAGTCCTTGTCAATGTCCGGACATTAAAATCTCCAACATGCAGTTTACAGAGTGGCTTCAGGTGACCAGGAATAGTGTTTTGTGTACTCGGATCGTTTGCATCAGCGCCTCGTGGTGATAAAGGAATGTGAGAAGGGTTAGTCGTGGAGAATAGTGAGTTATTACGAAGTGGGGAAAGGATTTCATTGTGAGCTAGTTGATTTCGTGTGCGTGTATGAAGGTAGATGCCACTTTCCGGTATTTCTTGAGGAACCTGAAAATGAAGTTAGATCTTGGTCTTAGCGACCTGGCAGCTTGACCGCATTGCTCAAGGGACAACTGTTTGAGGTCGGTCATTCTCGGCCTCTTTATGGTAAGTTTTGGAAGTGCTAGCTCCGTTCTCCAAAAGGACTTACCACCGGAGACGGAAATCCGTGAGGTAAGGTGAGGTGTGACATTTTTAGAGTCGACCTTTTCTAACCCCTTCCGTTGTGAGAAGGTGGCATTTCTGCAGATGCTGTTTGTCGGAGAGTAATACCTTACTGCTGTCACATCCCTCTACAGTCAGCAGTACGCCTTCGCCCTTAAGTTACTGCTCTTAGTCTTACCGTTCTCCAATCGACCTACCTGGCATAGTAGAACCTAAAGAAACTTATTTTCCAGCCAATATAACTCGGTTGGGTAAATATGAAGGGCTGGGGAAACATATAAATTGAAGGGATTATGATGTGGTCTAATTAGTTTTATTTGACAGTTCTGAACGAATTTATACATACTTCTAATATCAAATAGTCTGTTCAAAATATTAACTAAATGTACAGATTATATTCTTAGTAAATTAATTTGTTAATACTGAATTGTGAAATTAAAATTTTCTCATCTTTTGTAAAACATACCTCTTCAAATAGCGAAATAAAGCTTAAAATATCTGATAAAATTCTTCCAGTTCAGTGAATCAGTAATTTTGTTGATCTGATTTTTAGTTTTCTATTTTTCTTATCTGTCAATGTATGTAGCTAGTAACTCTGCGTATGCAACACACGTATCATCAACAGTCTCTGTCAAAACAAACCAGTTGATTCCCTTTCCTGTTACTACCTACATTTTTCGTCCCACTAATCTCGATAAATAACTTGATTATCTTATGCCTTCTATAATCAACGGTTCTTCAGTTTAGTTGATCGGTAACTTATATTGGCACATCCTTGAATTACATGCATTTTGATACAAGTAATCATCATAAATTAATCACCACTCAAATGCTAAATGCTGTAGACATTATATGTCATCCCGTTCTATCGAATTCATTCATCATCTCCCGAAAAGCATTCTTTATTGATTCAGTAATGTGATTTAAATGTATCATGTGATGATAGAATTAGTTTGAATTTCAGTTCACCGACAATATATAAACTTGCTATTTGTTAGAGACACTGAGAATTTTGTTAGCTTCCTTCATGTATAGTCTTAATAGATAGAATGAACAGTTTGTAACTAGATGATTAAGAATTCAAAATCCTTTGCTTTTCTTCATTGTTTCTTGATTTTTTCGATTTTTTTTTTAGCTATTACTTATGATTTGCATTATAATTTGCACGTTTAAGATTTACATGCTGTCAGTTTTTGCCGGTTGTGATAACATGAAATTCGGGTGAATTGAACTTGTTTGCAAATCTCTTAAGTATTATATCATTGAACCAAGTCATCTGAAAATTCTTGACTTGTTCACATTTATTACACTAACGGAATCTATGCTCCTCATTAGCTTCGAACTAGGCGTTGGGTCAAAACCAGGATGACAGCTTCTTTTAACTGTAATTCTTATAACAGTCATTCAATGCGTGCATGAAATTCGTTTTACAATTTAATGTTAGAGTTGGTAAAAGGGAATCGGAAAAAAAATGCCAATTACATGTTTTAATAATTGATAGGATTAGATTTTATCAATTAGTATGAGTGTATCAGTCATATAGGCAATAAGTTGTGAGCTACTTAGCTTACTAGGTTGTAAGCTCTCTAGAGTAAGCTTCTGTAAAGTAACACAGTTTCAAATCTCATGAATTTCTGAAGTGCTCTTAAGTTTGTGAACATTGCTTGATAACGAATTACCGGTAGTATGAAACGATTAGTTGGTGCTTGAACCACTTAGACTAATGATCATTATTGCAACTTGGTTGATAGATCGAATTTGAGAAACACGTAGAAACTAGCACATATGTACCTCGGTTCAAGTTTCCACACCCCATTAGTACAATGGGATCAGATTATCAGAGTAAAACCCATAGCTTTATAGATATTAATACTATCATTAGTAATAATACTGCATAATATACTTGTTCTTTAGTTCACAAATGGATAGCTCGCCTACGCCAAAAGTGAGACAAATCGATAAAAACCAATTTTGGTGTTCTAACTTTGTGCCAAGGTCTTGCCAGATAACTAATTGGAACTAGTGAATTATAGTGTCTAGTGATGGGTTGTTGATATCTTTGATATGATTTTGAATCTCATTGTATTTTTATATTTCTGTGCTTTTATTTAGTAGCCCCAGGGGGTGCAATAATTTCAGTATAACGACGACTTTATATAGTTATTTTGTGTCCATATATAATTTACGATTTTTACATGTTAATTTTTATTTTCATGACAAGATATTTAACTAACTGACTACTGTTTGTTTACTTTTTTCACTACTATTTTCTAGTTTTCAACTCCTCAGGCTAGAAGAATCTCAAAACTCAATACACAAAATCTACGCGTTACAACATTCAATGCTAATGTTATTGTCAGTAAACGTAATCGTAAACGTTCAAAACATCGACTACGTGCTTCATCTGCTTCACCTTCCAAAGATTTTCTTTTATCTACTGGTTCAGACGATGAAGAAACAGATGATTTATCAGATTTCAATAATTTCAATAATCAATCATCACAAAATATTGTCAAAGTACAAGATTGAATAATAAATAATAATAATAATAAAATATATTTTTTGTTCATTTTATGATCAATTTAATTCTATCATGGGATTGATTATCATCGGAAAATTACTATTTATTTATTTATTCTCAACACAAATTAAGCCTTTTTCATGATTTTCAAATGCTGTGAATTGACTATTTTGATAGCCAAAACAATAAAATAAAATTAAATAATAAACCGTACGTCTTTCGAACATCTTCTACACAGATTTTAAAAACAAAAAGAAGAATTTATTTTCAAATTTTACTAATCACTTCTTCTTCTTCAACATTGAATAATAACACATATCTCGTAATACTATTTATTATTCACCGCTTGTTGTTTTATTGTGTTGTTCATTAAAACAAAAAAAATTAAATATTTTTTTGACAGTTTATTTCCTTAGTTTTATTTTTTAAGTAAGAAAAAAAAATACAAACATTATAATTACACTTTATTCTTTCTGAGATCATACAACAAAGTACATGAATTATTATTTTTTTTTTCACAATAAACCATTTTCACTGAGAAAAAAGTAAACGTTCACCACCCACAAGTTCAATGTTCAATGTCCATTTTCTAGGCTATGTATATTAGCTATCTTATCCAATCACATGAAGCTCTCCGAATCACGTGATGATGATGATAATGATGATGATGATATACATAAACAAAATTTATTTATTTAAAAATACAACAATGAAACTTCAACATCTTTATTTTCTATCACACAATGCATATAATTATTTTTAATTTATTGATTAGAAAACAGTGTGTGAACTTTGCAAAACCATTGAAATGGGAATGTGAATATTCATGAAACAAATGGGTAATTGTCGCGTCAATTACGTAATGACAATTTTATCATTTTCTTAGTTTACACATTTGACTTGCTTTTATTTTATTTTGTTTACTACTGATATATAATAAAGAAAGAGAAAAGGAGAAGAATAATAATTTTGCTTTCACTTTCTATGATAATTATATAATGCAATAGTAGTACTTAATAATAATAATAATCATTTTTCAACACAGTATGATGTTGATATCACAAATAATGTTGAACACGTTGAACTTTCTAAAGTTATGTGAATTTTCAAGAATAAAATAAAAACAAACAAACAAACGAAGATTTCTGTGAAATTTTTAACTTATTATTATTATTATTTGCCTTTGTAACAACAATATTCTTGTTACTTAGATTCTGAGAGAAAAAAAATGCTTTATTGTTGTATGTGGTAAGAAGTCAGTGCTTCTCTTTACATTTTTGGTTCTTTCCCTGCTTCTCTATCTAGAATAACTAAATTAAATCATTATTTTATTTCTACTCTTTTATTTTTGGTTAAGTGTTGTAGAATATGGGAAAAAAAGGAAGGAAATTCATTACTCGGGTCAGTTTAATTGAGTGTAAAAAAATAATCTTTGATAACGGGATACTTTATGTTACGCATGCATGTAAACACGTCAATTTGATATGCTTGGACTATTACGAGTTTACCTTAACGCGGAAAACGAGAGTCAGGATCCGGTGACGACATACTAATCTTATCCGAGTGTCCCAACCCCTATATTGAGTAAAAAGAAGATTTGATATGAAGTAGAACATGTATTCTACGAGCATCCAGAAAGTACGAGGTTCGAGTCCAGAAGAGAACCAGAATCCTGGACTAGGGATCCGGGTCCGGGTCATAAAACGTTACAGATAATGCGTATTTATACAATTAGGTCGAATAGGAAACAGCATCGAAGTCTGTGACATTGACAGCTAAGTCAACCAATAGGAAACAAAATTTGAGTGACATGAACAGTCAAGGCGACCAATAGGAAACAACAATGGAGTTCATGACATTGATATCTAGGACGACCATAAAATTGACCAGTAGGAATTGACCAATATAGGATATTGGTATAAATATCCTAGCACTTTATTAATTTAATTTTAACTCAGTGACAAAGTGTAGATAACTATACTTGAATCTGAGCCATAGATTTTGCGTAGCGGATCTAAAAAAAATGGAGTTAGAATATGTAAGTGAACGGTCAAATGTCATTTTTTGTAACCAGTAAAGTATTAGTATTTATGAAATGCAGTCGTTCAATTTGTATACTGGTTTACTCTATCAGCCACTTAAGTAAAAACACTGAGAATAAGAAGGGAGCTTTATTGCATAGACTCAAATTAGGAATATATATCTTTTGATCAGTGGATGATTGCCCCGGGAGTATCATTTTTCTTGATAATAATTAACTGATATTCAGACCGGATAAGTAGATAATTGAGTATTTTCAATAATTATCAACCTGTTCATATAACTAACTGTATATTACTAAGGCTGTTCTGAGATGTGTTATATGTTCAACGTACATTTTGGCTAATCCGTCAATAAAGTAATGCAGTATGTTAATTTAAACTATTCAGTTCGGAATCACAACATTAAGTTTTTTATTTCAAGAAACAGACATCATGCTATACATATCGTGTTATTCAATTATCAATCCTATTTTGAATACAGAATTGTAGTATGAAGTAATTCAATAGTATTATAATATCGAAAACAGCTGACAACTGATTTAGAAGCTTTTTATTTGATTTGTTTCTTAAAACTAACTAAACTTGTATGTATAAATTTTCAAAAATTTTTTTCAGAGAAATAACATTGTGAAATTTTAATAGACAGACAGATAGATATGAAACATGATCGTTTTGGTTTCAAGTTTGTTGGTTAGTTAATGATTTAAATTCACCCACTGTAGAATCGATTCTGCTCAAGGTCATTTTTAATCACGTTCATTTCTTTGTCTAATATTCTGTAGATAAAAAAATTATAAACACCAGTTATATTCTGTCTTTCGATATCTATCCATTTTAAGGAGTGGTCACTTGACCAGAATTCATATATGTGTATATTAATCAATATCCAACTGTAACCATATTCCCACATAATATTCCTTTTCTATTGCAAAGTGAAAATTCGATACATTTCAATACAGTTTAATTGAACACATGTCCTGTTTACTGAAGTATTTATAAGGTACTCTTTATAAATCTCACAATCATTGGATTTCAGCACTGGAAGCTTGTTTTTATATCCTTTGTGAAGTTTGTCGGGAAACATAAATTCTATGAGAATAGAGTTGGTGAATACAGTCGACAGGTAAATGCATCCGTAAATTCCTCGTGTGTTTGGATTTACTGACAATGTGTATCTTAGTCCTTTGAAAAGATAAACATTGATTCGAAATTTTCGCTGCACAGAGTTACAGTGTAGTGAACGAGAACACAGGTGAGGGCAACCGAATTGTATTCAACGAAAATTACAGAGTTACTCAGTAAAATAGGAAAACCATATCATAAATCGTTAATTTGCAAAATATCAGTTCATCTTATCGAACTGAACTGTTCCTGTTGCAAAGCATCAATCCATTGTCACTATTCGTGCGTTTCATACAAATTGCATTGTGTTCTAACTCTTACTTTCTTGATCTTACCCCATCTTCTGCTGCCAGACATTACGTTGACACTCACGTTATATACTACTTATAAGTAGCTCGCACCACAACAGTAGTTTATGACTAAGTTATTAATTACTTAAACATCAAGCCAACTAATGTGTGAGAATAATTAATTGTTTTTAATGAATTAATTTGAGACTCAAAATATTCACATACCTTTATTACGAGTTATTACTTCAGTTCCTGTCATTTATTCACTGATATTGATTTAAAGTTTTTTTGCAGTACTGGTTAGTTTGATCATTTTAATCACTGAACTACTTATACTGTGTATAGTCATGACTAATTGTACTTTTCTGCCTAATCTGCCAGTTCTGTAGTCAATGAAATTAGTAAGGTGTCTCACCTATTTTAATCACTTTTCAAGTAGCCGATGAAATGGTGTCTGACGAAACCTTGCCATATACTAAGAGAGCTCTGTTAGCAGGTCCTTTGTGTACCGGTAACATTTCTGACTGTCGTTCACAAGTTACTAGTATTTTGCCAAAGGTGTATTTAAAACAGTAACTATGTTTGTTGGGACTACTGACTGAGCATTGTCAACGTTAGGTACTAGACAAAGTAAACAGGTTGTGAGTCTTGATCGATCGACTTGGTCGATATGGGTATTTCGCAACCACAAGACAGGTTTATCTCAACTATCGATGTTGCATGTTGTAGTAGCTCGTCAGATGAATATTAGGAGTATTCAAACAAACAAGTATCATTAATTTGTGAAGTGAAAGATTGTTGTAGTGAGACATGTTAATATATGTAGATTCAAACTACCTGAATAGAGAGTGAGGTCAATATCTGTGATGATTGTTTGTAGATGACAGGCGAGATATTTTTGAATCGATTGTAATGAGACAGATGCATTCACTTATTGTCTTTCGATAAAAATCTTGAGTTTTACAGTCCTCCTATACTTTTGATTCAATGGATTCAGTCAATACTGTGTAATCATATTCTTTATAGCTCATCTTTTTAACGGCCTTTTACTTTACTCTGACTACTACTACTACTAATACTACTGTAGTGAAGGAGAACACAGGTGAGGGCAACCGAATTGTATTTAACGAAAATTACAGAGTTACTCAGTAAAATAAGAAAAACCGTTAGATTTGACAAATCTTCAATCCATAATCAATCCCATTGTCTGGCAGTTCACTATTCATGCGTTTCAATACAAATTCCATTGTGTTCCCACTCTTCTTCCTTTCTCTTGATCTTCCCCCATCTTCTACTGCCAGACATTACGTTGACACTCACGTCATATACTACTTATAAGTAGCACGCACCACAATATATATATATATATATATATATATATATATATATATATACAATTACTCTTTTGTTGTTGTAGACTATTCACCAATCATTCATTCATGTCTAGTCATTTTCTTTAACCGTAGTTTATTTTCTATTGAATCTTTGAATTTTTTTTTCAAATGTCAGTCATATTTTAATTATGAATAATATAATATAATATGATATTTATTATACACAATTTACCTGGATTGTGTTTTTAATATTTTTTTAAAAAAAACAGTTTTTCTGTTAAATTGTTAATATATTCACAATTACGTGTAACACAACAATTAAATAATTGATGCTGTCAAATGATTTGTTTAAAGTATGTTTGACAAAAAATTGCATAGCATAGCATAGCATAGTTATATAAAGTTGTCAGTGTTGTATTGCCTATCTATCTATCTATCTATCTATCTGTCTGTACATGAATGTTAAATAATGATTATAATGATAGAATATGTTTTTGTTTTGTTTGGTATATGTAAAACTTCATTTTAGTTTATTTAGTAGAATGATTAATTTTGAAAAAAAAATTGATTGTAACAATAGTTGATATATATATATATATATATATATATATATATATATATATACATGTCAAAGAGATTTGCATTGTTATTATTAGTTGTGAAATGAACATGTTAATCTGGTGTTGGTTAGTTAGTTAGTTAGTAGATTTATGAAGTTAAGTTTTTGTAAAAAGTTATGATGTAAGGAATTAATTAATCGAATGAATTGCATTACGAGGTTGTGAAGATTGTTAAGTTACACATTTTTGAAATTATGAATCGATCAATGTTAGACCACCATTAGAAACCTGGAAGCATTGGACAGACGTTTCGTCCTGGTATGGAACTCATAAGTAGTGCGCATCCACAACTCTTGCACCTAGCAGGATTCGAACCCAGGAGCTTCGGTTTTGTGCGCGAACGCCTGACCTCTGGACCACCGAACCGGTGTCTAACAGTGTTTATGTCTAACTTGATCAATTCACGGAGTTACGTAATCTCATACACTGTCTTCGATAGTTATTGTCTACATCCGAACAGGTTGAACTTCACTGGTCGCGACTTCTCACTAGAACTCGGAGAAGATTCGTCACTTAGCTAGTCGCTAGTGAGCACATGTAATTGCATTACGGGGTTGTGAAGATTGTTAAATTACACATTCGAAATTAATACTTTCCTAGAAATCTAAACCGGATGCAACCTGTTCTAAATATGAGCAAACAATGTAGAACTGAAATTATTAAATACTATGATGAACAGCTAGGTCATCATACCACAGAATATTTTGTCCCATTCTTTTTTTTAGTTGGATTTGAAATGATTTGAATCATCCCGGAGTGAACGTCAACTCCAAGATGTAGGTATATCCAGCTGACGATTTCGAAATAGGACTAAACATGCATCCTGGATCCCACTGCTACTATCTATTCTATATATATACATTGTCTATTTGTTGATTCATGACTTGATCACATATATAGTATGTTTGTTAAACTATATGCATCCAAA